GCCGCCATCTTGCCTCCGCTTCCGGCGCGGCGGGAAGTGACGTCACGGGGAAGGGGTCCTGCCCCCTAGCGGCTGCCGGAAGCGGTGCGGGCCGCGCCCCGCCATGGCTCCCACCATCCAGACGCAGGCGCAGCGCGAGGAGCCCGGGCACAGGTGCGGCCGCGGGGAGGGGGAAGGGGGCGTGATGTCACCGGCGTGACGTCACGGTCGGGGGGGCTCGGAGGTCGGGCATGCTTCTGACGTCATAGCGCGCGTGGAGGGGGCGCGACCCCAGCGCGGCCTCCTGACGTCATAGGGCGTGTCGAGAACGGGGGGGGAGGGGGCGGTGCGTGACGTCATAGCGCAAGCGTGAGGCAGGTGGGGCCCTTCATGACGTCACAGAACGTGGGGGGAGGGGAGCCCTTTACGTCGTGGGAATTTTTGTGACATCATGGGGGGGTGCTCATGATGTCGTGTAGAGTGATGACATCACAGGGTCGCTACGGCATGGGAGTCGATGACATCACAGGGGCTGGTGACGTCACACGGTGTCCCTGATGACATCACAGCTCCCGTGTTCCCCCCTCCCCCCAGGCCCAGCTCCCACCGGACGCTGCCTGAGCGGTGAGTTGGGGGGGGGGGGGTTGGGCCTTCCCCTCCCCTATTGACCCCTGACCCTTGACCCCCCACTGACCCCTGACCTTTGACTCCAGGTCAGGTGTCGTGTGCCGGGTCAAGTACTGCAACAGCCTCCCCGACATCCCCTTTGACCCCAAGTTCATCACCTACCCCTTCGACCAGAGCCGGTAACCACGCCCCACTAAGACCCACTGCGCCCTATAGAAATCCATAGAGACCCATAGAGACCCACAGAAACCCCATAGTGACCCACAGAGACCAAGACCTATAGCGACCCATAGAGACCCATAGAGACACCATAGTGACCCATAGCAATCCATAGAGACCCATAGCAACCCCATAGAGACCCATAGACCCTTACAGCACCCTATAGCTCACTAAATAGCCCTTCGATGAGTGCCAGTACCAGCACCCAGAAACCCTATGGCACCCCACATCCACCCTACAGTGATCTACCTGCATGCTGTAGCACCCTATTGTGCTCCACATCCACCCCAGTGCACCCCATACCACCCCAAGGTGACCCAGAGCACCCTGTAATGCCCCAGGGTAACCCATAGTGCCCGAAGGTGACCCATAGCGCCCCAGGGTGACCCATAGCACCCTAGGGTGATCCATAGCGCCCCAAGGTGACCCATAGTGCACCAGGGTGAGCCATAGCACCCCAGAGTGACCCGTAGCGCCCCAAGGTGACCCATAGTGCCCCAGGGTGACCCATAGCGCCCTAAGGTGACCCATAGTGCCCCAGGGTGAGCCATAGCATCCCAAGGTGACCCATAGTGCCCCAGGGTGACCCATAGTGCCCCAGGGTGATCCATAGAGCCCCAAGGTGACCCATAGTACACCAGGGTGAGCCATAGCATCCCAAGGGTGACCCATAGCGCCCTAAGGTGACCCATAGTGCCCCAGGGTGATCCATAGAGCCCCAAGGTGACCCATAGTACACCAGGGTGAGCCATAGCGCCCCAGAGTGACCCGTAGCGCCCCAAGGTGACCCATAGTGCCCCAGGGTGAGCCATAGTGCCCCAAGGTGACCCATAGCGCCCCAGGGTGAGCCATAGTGCCCCAAGGTGAGCCATAGTGCCCCAAGGTGACCCATAGCGCCCCAGGGTGAGCCATAGTGCCCCAAGGTGACCCATAGCGCCCCAAGGTGAGCCATAGTGCCCCAAGGTGACCCATAGCGCCCCAGGGTGAGCCATAGCGCCCCATGGCTCCCCGCCCAGGTTCGTGCAGTACAAGGCCACGTCACTGGAGAAGCAGCACAAGCACGACCTGCTCACAGAGCCTGACCTGGGCGTCACCATCGACCTCATCAACCCCGACACGTACCGCGTGGAGCCCAGCGGTGAGCGGGGGGGGCACAGGGGGGTATGGGGGGGTGGCCCAAAGCCTCCTTCTGAACCACGCCCCCCCCCGCCCCCCAAAGTGCTTCTGGACCCCGCAGATGAGAAGCTGCTGGAGGAGGAGATCCAGGCACCCACCAGCTCCAAAAGGTGACAGGGGAGCACAGGGACCCCATAACCCCCTTTGTGCCCACCATAACCCCCTATGGGGACCCCTAAACCCTCTCTGGGGAGCACAAGAGACCCCATAACCCCCTGTGGGGACCCCTAAACCTCCTCTGGGGGTCACAGGACCCCATAACCCCCTCTGTGCCTCCCAGAACCCCCAATTGGGACCCCATAACCACCTGTGTGCCCCCATAACTCTCATTTGGGACCCCTAAACCCCCTCTGGTGGTCACAGGGAGCCCATACCCCCCTCTGTGCCCCCCATAACCTGCTATGGCCCCACAGGTCTCAACAGCATGCCAAGGTGGTGCCATGGATGCGCAAGACTGAGTATATCTCCACTGAATTCAACCGCTATGGGGTGTCCAATGAGAAACCCGAGGTCAAGTGAGTCTGGAGGGGGGGGTCCAAGGTGGGGGGGAGTTTTGGGGTCCCCACTATGCCCCCCTCCCCCCATGATGCCTGTGCCCCCCCCCAGGATTGGGGTCTCGGTGAAGCAGCAGTTCACAGAGGAGGAGATCTACAAGGACCGCGAGAGCCAAATCGCGGCCATCGAGAAGACCTTCGAGGATGCTCAGAAGGGGGTGAGGGATTTGGGGTGGGGGGGGGGGTGGGGGGGGTTCTTTTGGGGGTGACCCCTCCTGCCCCCCCCCCCAGATCACGCAGCACTACAGCAAACCCCGTGTGACCCCCGTGGAGGTGATGCCCGTGTTCCCTGACTTCAAGGTAAGGGGGGGATGCCCCAAACCCCTGCTCCAGGGTCCTATCAGGGAAGCTGAGGCATGGTGCTACAGAACTGAGGGTGTCATGGGGTGCTATGGGGTGCCACGGGGCGCTGTGGGGTGCCATAGGGTGCTATGGGGAGCCATAGAGTGCTGTGGGGTGCCACAGGGTACTATGGGGTGCCATAGAGTGCTATGGGTTGCCATAGGGTGCTATGGGGAGCCATGTGGTGCTATGGGGAGCCATGGGGTCCTGTTGGTCCCCTGCTGCCCCCCAATCTCCCCCACTGCCCCCCAGATGTGGATCAACCCCTGTGCACAAGTGATCTTCGACTCGGACCCCGCACCCAAAGACACGAGTGGCGCGGCCGCACTGGAGATGATGTCCCAGGCCATGATCCGGTAGTGGGACCGGGGGGGGACCCCGACATTGGGAGGGGACTGGGGGGAGGGGCATTCACCCCCATTGAACTCCCTTTGTGCCCCCTCCCACAGGGGGATGATGGACGAGGAGGGGAACCAGTTCGTGGCCTATTTCCTTCCCGTGGAGGAGACGCTGCGCAAGAGGAAGCGGGACCTGGAGGAGGAGATGGACTATGCCCCCGAGGACGTGTAGGGGGTCCTATAGCTTAGGGGGGTGCTCTATAGCTTGGGGGGGTCTATAGCTTAGGGGGGAACTCTATAGCTTGTGGGGGCCCTATAGCTTGGGAGTGTCCTGTAGCTTAGGGGTGCTCTATAGCTTGGGGGGTTCCCTATAGCTTGGGGGGGCCTATAGCTTGGGGGGAGACCTACAGCTTCTTAGTGTCCTGTAGCTTGGGGTGGCCTTATAGCTTGGGGGGGTGCCCTATAGCTTAGGAGTTGGGCTATAGGTTGGGGGTACTCTACAACTTGGGGGGGGGGGGGCCTATAGGTTGTGGGTGCTCTATAGCCCTGGGACGAGGAGCTCTGTAGCCTCATGGACCTCAATGGATCCCCAGCACTGATGGACCCCGCAGCCCATTTTGGGCCCGGAAAAATGGAAATTGGGGAGCAGGACACCCCCAAGCTCCCCCCCGTGTCCCCCCCCAGGTACGACTACAAGATCGCCCGGGAATACAACTGGAATGTGAAGAACAAGGCGAGCAAAGGCTATGAGGAGAATTACTTCTTCATCTTCCGTGAGGGCGACGGTGTCTACTACAACGAGCTGGAGACCAGGTGGGGCCCCTGGGGGGGTTGGGGTCCCTGGGGCGGTGCTTGTTTTGGGGTACCCCATGTGTGTGTCCTTGTCCACCGCCGTGCAGGGTGAGGCTGAGCAAGCGCCGGGCCCGTGCTGGGGTGCAGTCGGGCACCAACGCGGTGCTGGTGGTGAAGCACCGGGACATGAACGAGAAGGAGCTGGAGGCGCAGGTGGGATTTGGGGTGAAAACAGAGCATTTTGGGGGTGTTTCGAGGGTCCCCTCTTGACCCCCCCCCCATGCCCATTCCCCGCCTCAGGAAGCGCGTCGGGCGCAGCTGGAGAACCACGAGCCCGAAGAGGAGGAAGAGGAGGAGATGGAGGCAGAGAAGGAGGCAGCAGGTTCAGGTAAAGGGGGGGGTAGGTAGTTTTGGGATGATTTAAGGGGGATTTGGGATTTTGGGGACCCCAATATCCTTCCCTTGCCCCCCCATAGACGAGGAACGTGAGAAGGGCAGCGAGAGCGAAGGAGCCGCAAGTGGGGAGGAGGAGGAGGAGGCCGAAGGCTCCCGCGGGGGGAGCAGCAGCGAGCGGGGCCGCAGCGAGGAGGAGGAGGAGGAGGAGGAAGAGGAGGAGGCGGAAGAGGAAGAGGAGGAAGAGGAAGGGCGGGGGGGGCGGCGGGTGAGGGGGGGTCCGGGCAGCGATGCTGCTCGCGCTGCCCGGGACCAGGAGGAGATCTTCGGAAGCGACAACGACGAGGATGAGGAGGAGGAAGAGGAGGAGGAGGAGGAAGACGACAGCGATGAAGGTGGGGGGGGCCCCCCGCGCAGCCCCCACCTCACCCCCAGTGAGGCCTCGGAGGAAGACGAGAGCCACAGCGACTCGTCCAGCAGCGACTGAAGGCGGGGGGATTCTCCAGGGGCTCTTAGTGAGGTTGAACGCCCACCCCCACCCCTATTTTGGGGTGAAAAAGCACCGTTTTGGGGCCGGGGGTTGCCGCGTTGTCTCTTTAATCCCGTTGTCATGGTTACCAGCCATTATCATAACAAAAGTGATTCATAATAAAATGTATCTAAAATAACGGTTTCTATCGCGAGGGGCCGCTAAAAGGGGGGGGGGAGGGGGGAGGGAAGGGGGGGGAGGGGCTGTACCAAGGGGGGGTGGGGGAGGGGTGTTGCCATGTACCTAAATAAGGGGGTTCTCACCCCCCCCGCCCCCCCCATCGGGGCTGGGGGAAGAAAATTAATATTAATAATAATAATAATAATAAAACACAACAAAAAAGCCCTAAAACTGGAGGGGGGGGGAAGGGTCAAACACGGGAACCCCCCCCAAAACCCGGGAGAGCCCCGCCCCCCCCGTAGTGTCACATGGCCCCACCCGCACGCCGTGACGTCATTGGCCCCGCCCACCCCCCCCCTGCGAGGCCACTCCCCCACGGGACCCCCCCCCAACATTGGGTGATGGGGGGGTTATGGGAAGCCCCTCCCCCCCCTCGGGGGGGTTAAAAGGGAGGGGGAGGGGGGCTTAAGGGGGTTAACCCCCCCTTGACCCCCCCCCTTAATGTGGGGGGGGCGGAGCCATCAGATGGTCGAGGTCTTGTCCGTGCCGTCTGTGGGGAGGGGAAACAGGGAGGTCACGGGGGGCGTCCCATCTGGGAGCCCCCCTCCCCACTGCAGCTTTACCCCCCCCATGGGACCCTCCCCCCCCCCGTGCCACCCCGCGCCCCCCCCTCACCGCCCAGCGCGTGCTCCGTCATGCTCAGACACAGCGACTCCAGCGTGGGGTTGATCTCCAGGTCCGTGCCGTGGGGGGGACACTCTGGGGGGGGGGGGGGGGGGCACGCACATTAAAGGTGGTTTAGGGGGGTCCCCCCCACCTCAGCCCCTCAACCTCCCCCCCCCCGGGACCCCTAAAGTGGGGATGAAACAAGGACCACCCCTCAAGGGGTTTCAAAGCCCACCATGTTTTGGGGACCCCCACCAGTTTGGGCCCCCCTGAATTTCAGGCCCCCCCTCCCATTTCCGCCCCCCCTCATTATTAGGCCCCCCCCGTACCCTGGGGGAAGCTGAGCAGCGCCTGGGGCGAGTGCACGGGCAGCGAATGCGTTCTCTGCACCCCACTGCGGCCCCCCCCGGCTCCCCCCGCCCCGAACCACAGGCTCTGGGGAGGGACAGCGGGGGTCACAAGGGGGGGGGACGACACCCCAATAAAGGGCCCCCCCCGAGCCCCCCCATGGGGAGCTCAGGGGGAAGAAACCCCTCCAAAGGCCAAAACCCAGCCACCAAAGGGAGCCAAATCCCATCAGAACCCCCCCAAATCCCATGGGGCCCCTCCCAAATCCCATGGGACCCCCACGGATCATATAAGACCCCCCCACATTCCATAAGAGCCCCCCAATCCCATAGGACCCCCCCGAAATCCCATACCCCCTCCCCCCAAATCCCATAGAACCCCCAACCCCGTAAGACCCCCCCCAATCCCATAGAACACCTCCCAAAGGCCGCAGGTCCCCCCCCCAATCCCATAGCCCCCCCGCCCAAATCTGCACCCCAACCCCCGAGGCCCCCCCTGAGCACCCACCTGTCTCCCCTGGGTGCTCAGGGGGGGTGCTCCCAGGGGGGGCCGTGGGGCCGGTGCCCCCCCAGCGGGTCCCAGCAGCCCCAGGCGGGCGGGGGGGAGTGCCCGGGGGGGGCACACAAAGGGGCGCTGCCCCCGGCGCCCCCCCGCCCCCCCCACAGAGCCAGCTATGGGGAGCGAGTTGGAGCCGAAGGCCCAGCTGTGGGGGGGACGGGATGGGGACAAAGAGGGGGTCACAGGGGGGCACAGAGCAGGGAGGAAATGGGGGGAGCAGGGAGCCCCCAGTGAGCACCCAAAGGGTCCCACTGTGCTGCTGGGGGGGTCCCTCCCCCGTGCCCTCCCCCAGCCGCACTCACCCCTTGGGGGGCCGGTAGCCGGGGCCGTCGAGCGGCAGCTTCTTGGGGCAGGCGCGGAGCAGCTTCAGGACCTGCTGCTTCCAGGACAGGAGCCGCTTCTTCTGCGTCTCCGTGAACGCCTGGGGGTGGCACAGGTCATGAGGGGGGGCACAGGCCATGGGGAGGGCACAGGCCATGGGGGGGCACAGGTCATGGGGGGGGCACAGGCCATGGGGGGGGGGGTCAGGGTCATGGGGGGGGGTCACAGGTCATGAGGGGGGGCACAGACCATGGGGGGGCCACAGGCCATGGGGAGGGCACAGGTCATGGGGGTGGCACAGGTCATGAGGGGGGGCACAGGTCATGGGGAGGGCACAGGCCATGGTGTGGCACAGGTCATGAGGGGGGGCACAGGCCATGGGGAGGGCACAGGTCATGGGGGGGGCAGGGCACAGGCCATGGTGTGGCACAGGTCATGAGGGGGGGCACAGGCCATGGGGAGGGCACAGGCCATGGGGGGGCACAGGTCATGAGGGGGGGCACAGGCCATGGGGAGGGCACAGGCCATGGGGGGGCACAGGTCATGAGGGGGGGCACAGACCATGGGCAGGGCATAGGCCATGGGGGGGGCCACAGACCATGGGGGGGCCACAGGCCATGGGGGGGCACAGACCATGGGGGGGCACAGGTCATGAGGGGGGACACAGACCATGGGCAGGGCACAGGCCATGGGGGGGCACAGACCATGGGGGGGCCACAGGCCATGGGGGGGGAAAGACCATGGGGGGGCACAGGTCATGAGGGGGGGCACAGGCCATGGGGAGGGCACAGGCCATGGGGGGGCACAGGTCATGAGGGGGGGCACAGGCCATGGGCAGGGCATAGGCCATGGGGGGGGCCACAGACCATGGGGGGGCCACAGGCCATGGGGGGGCACAGACCATGGGGGGGCACAGGTCATGAGGGGGGGCACAGGTCATGAGGGGGCACAGACCATGGGGGGGCCACAGGCCATGGGGGGGGGGCAGGCCCAGGCCATGGCAAGGGGGGCCCAGGCCATGGGGGGGGGCCCGATCTCACCTCGTGGCTCAGGCACTTCTCCAGCAGCTGCAGGTAGGAGCTGATGTTCTCCTCGTCCGGGCGCGACACCAGCAGCTGCGTGCACACTGCGGGGGGGTCAGCACACACGGACCCCCCCCCGACACCCCCAGACACCCGCCAGCACCCATAGACAGCCCCATGGCACCCATAGACACCCCCCCCCCCCCCCAAGAGCAGCCTGGTTCCCCAAGGCACCATGGACCCTCCAGGGCACCCATAGCACCCCTGACCATCCCTCCGACACCCCCAAACTCCTTCAGGTCCCCCAATCACCTTTAAGGCCCTGCAGCACCCATAGACTCCCCCTTTCCAGCACCCTGACTCCCCCAGCACCCACAGACCCCCCCAGCACCGACAGACCTCCCCAGCACCCACAGACTGCCACAGCAGCCAATGCTCCCCCCAGCACCAATAGCCACCCCTAGCACCCATAGACGCCCCTAGCACCCATAGACCCCCCCCCAGCACCCAATGCCCCGCCCCCCCAGCACCCATAGACACCCCGGGCACCCACAGACATCCCCCCAGCATCCATAGACCCCCTTAGCACCCAATGCTTCCCCAGCACCAATAGCCACCCCTAGCACCCATAGACCCCTCCAGCACCCAGTGCCCCACCAGCACCCAGACCCCCCCAGCACGCAATGCCCCCCCAGCACCCAATGCCCCCCAGTCCCCATAGACCCCCCCCAGCCCCCATAGACACCCCTTAGCACCCAATGGCCCCCCCAGCCCCACCTTTACCCATGACGCACGTGAACTGCCCTGGGATGTCCCCGTAGCGCTCAATGCCCCCTCAGCACCCACAGACCCTCCCCAGCACCCAATGCCCCCCTGCAGCACCCAATGCTCCCCCCAGCCCCACCTTTGCCCATGACGCGGGTGAACTGCCCTGGGATGTCCCCATCGGGCACCGGGGCCGCAGGGGCCTCGGGGTCGGTGCCTGGGTGCGGGGGGGGGGGAAACGACTCCCCGGGCCCCGGGGGGGGGCCCTCGGGGGGGGGCGGCGCAGCAGGGGGCGGGCGGAAGCCCTTGATGGGGGTGCTGAGAATCTGCTGCAGCTCCTGCAGCGCCGACCACAGGTTCCCCCCCTCCAAAATGTCCTGTGGGGACATGGCAACAATGGGGACACCCAGTGCCACCCACTGGCACCCAGTGCCACCCACAGCCACTCATTGGCACCCACTGCCACCCACTGCTACCCATTGCCAAGCGGGGGAACCCTAAGAGTTACTGAGCATCACCCAGTGCTGGGGACCCATGTGCCACTCAGTACCGCCCCTGCAGACCCCATAGGAACCCAACGGCACCCCTTGGGGACTCATAAAGACCCCAGTACCACCTGCATGGATACACAAGGAACCAATGCCACCCAACAGGAACTCAGTACCACCCCTAGGGACCCACAGGGACCCAGTGCCACCCCATAGGGACCCAGTACCACCCCTGGGGCACCCCATAGGGACCCAATGCCACCCTTGAGGACCCATAGGGCTGCCCTGCCCCACCTTCTCCAACGCCCTGAGCACGCTCTGCCTCTCGCGCAGCTTCTGGATGCTGAGCGCAATCTTGTGCCGCGCACCCTTGGTGACGTTCTGGGGGGGGTCACAGACACAGAGCAGGTTTGGGGGAGCCCCCTCGTGCCATGGGGGGGCACACAAAGCAGGGTCCTCCCCCTCGGTACCTGCGACTCGAGGTGATGCTCCGTCAGCGTCATCATCTCCTCGTAGCTCATCTGGGAGAAGAGCGCCGCATATTTGTGCAGCCGGAGGCTCTTGAGCCATGAGGGGACATCTGCGGTGGGGGGGACACGTCCATACCATGAGGACCAGGACCCAGGCCCGCCCCGGCCCCCCCTGAGCCCCCCCTCACCCTTCATGCCGCTGCCATCCTCCTGGAAGCTGTTCCTGCCGGGGGGCCCCTCCTCGGTGTGCTCGCTGCCCGAGGAGGCCACGCTGCTCTGGGGGGACAGCGGTGCGTGGTCCCCAAAGGGGCCCCGGCCCGGGGTGGGGGGGGGGATGGCCACGGGGGGGTCCTCGCTGCTCGCACCGCCCCCCCCCCCCGGCCACTCGCTCGGGGCAGGGCCGGGGACCCCCAGCGAGCGCTTCAGGGGGCTCGGGTGCAGTGAGCAGGGCAGAGCTGGGGGGACACAAGGGGGGTCAGGGGGGAGCCCCCATGGCTTCTGTGACCCCCCCAGGGCTCTGCTCAGCCCTGAATGGCCCCCCCCGATCACGCCCCAGCCCTATGGGCCCCTCCAAAACCCCTTCACAGCCCCCAAAATCCCTTCCATGACCCCCTTATCCCCTCCCAGACCCTGCAAACCTCCCCCCTGTCCCCCCTTATTTTCTCTATGCCCCCCTTATCCCTTCCCAGCCCCCCTAAACCGCTTCTGTCCCCCAAATCCCTTCCCAGCCCCTCCAAACCCCTTTATGTTCCCCAAAGCCCTTCTATGCCCCCCAAATCCCTTCCCTGTCCCCCCTTGTCCCTTCCCTGCCCCCCAAATCCCTTCCCGGCATCCCTTGTCCCTTCTATCCCCCCCAAACCCCTTCTATGCCCACCACAAACCCTCCCCCCCCCGCCCTCACCTGCTCCCCCCAGCCCATTCCCACTGCCGGGCGGTGCTGCTTGGAACTGGGGGTGCCCGTTCTCCCGCGGGGGGGGCTCAGGCCAGGCCGAGCCCAGCTCCGGGGGTGCCCCATGCTCGGGCCATTCGTGCGCCGGGGGGCGGCGGGAGGAGGAGGGGGGGGCCCGAGGGGCCGGGGGAGGCGCTCCGGTAGCCAGGCGCTCCTCGAGGTGGCCCAGCCAGAGGGCCAGGGCGCTGCGGTCGTCCAGGGTGGTGGCGGGGTGGATGAGGGCGTAGGACAGGAGCTGCCGGCTCTCCTCCACGCACCGGTTGCTCTCGATGGCGTAGGCCAGCACCGTCTGCAGCCGCTTCATGTACTCGGCCTTGGCCGCCGCGTTGCCTGGCTGCAGCAGCGGGAGGTGCGCCAGCAGCAGCGCCACGGCCGCCTCGGCCGGCTCCTGCGGCCACTGCCGGATGGCGGCTGCCGGAGGGGGGGGGAAAAGGGGAGCTTAGAGGTGGAAACGGGGGGGGGGGCGTCCCCAAAGGGTGGCTCTGGGAAGGCCCTGGGTGGTCACTGAGTCCTTATGGGTGGCACTGGGTGGTCAGTGAGTCCTTATGGGTGGCATCAGCAGGGCACTGAGGGCTCAGGGGTCCCCAAAGGGTGGCACTGGGCGGGCAATGAGCCCTTCTGGGTGGCACCAGCAGGGCATTGAGGGCTCAGGGGTCCCCAAAGGATGACACAAGATGGTCACTGAGGCCTTAAGGAGTGGCATGGAGTGCTTAGAGGGGCACTGGGGAGG